GCATGGCCATCTCCCCTGGGGGGTGATTTCTTGCTTTCTGTCTCTCTGGTGAGTACATGTGCCCTATAAGAAAAGAAAAGAAAAGAAAAGAAAAGAAAAGAAAAGAAAAGAAGATCCAGGTCAAAGCAACTGACCCTGGAAAAAATCACTTGAACTCTTTGCACTCCCATTTCCTGATCAACCAAATGGAGACCACAGGAGTTGCCCAACTCAGGAGGGTCTAGCGTAAAGGAGATTGTCTTGCCATAAAGCCTGGATGGAGGTTCCCCCAGCTTACTCACTGGGTTCTTTTTATTTTATTTATATATTTTTTTGAGAGGTTTTTGCTATAGGGCATGTGCGCCAGCCAGAAAGACAGAGAGAGACAGACAGCAAGAAATCACCCCCCACCCCCCAGTGGGGATGGCCACGCCACCATCCCCTCTCCTTCTTTCTCCTCTTGGGATCTTGGGCATGTACGCACACGCGCCCGGTGTGAGTTTAAGCCACTGGGTCTGGGACTCGAACCGCGGTTGATTGCATGGGAGTCCAGCGACATAGCCATTACGCTAACTGCTGGTCCCACTCACTGGGTTCTTTTTTGGAAAATGAAACCCACAAGCCCATATGGAGGGAGCAGGGAGCAGACAGTTGCAACTTAATGTACTTCCCTATGTGCTGGGACCGGGGCAGATGCTTCATATGTAAATGTCCACCTCATCTTCCCACAGCCCTGAGACCAGATATTGGTGTCCCCATTTCTTGTCCCCACACAAGACAACTGACAACTGAGGCTGGGGTTGGAGCCCCTGGCCCCAGGTCTCCCAGCTGGTCGGAGACAGCTCCAGCTCTTCATTCTCCAGGATTCCAGTCCTGAGCCTTTTTCCACCTAAATGCAAGTTCCTTCCTGACTGTCATACTGCTGCTGCCATTTCTAACATTAAAACAATAATCAGAATGAAGTAGGTAGGATAGGTTTGGAGTCTCAAGTTCTTGCAGAGTCAGCAGGATGTCTTGAGAGTCTCAGAAAGTTCTCTTGGAGACTTTCTATAAAATGTAATGAACAGAGGGGAACCAGCAGTTAGCGTAATGGCTATGTCGCTGGACGCCCACGTAGTCCACCGCGGTTCGCGTCCCGGACCTGGTGGCTTAAAACTCATGCCGGGCGCGTGTGCGTGCGTGCCCAAGATCCCAAGAGGAGAATGGAGGAGAAGGGATTGCGGCGTGACCATCCTCCCTGGGGGGTGATTTCTCGCTTTCTGTTTCTATGTCTCTCTCTGTCTGTCTGGCGAGCGCACACGCCCTATAGCAAAAAAACCTCTCCCAAAAAAAAAAAATGTAATGAACAGAGACATAAGCCTCTTTAGCCAAGTAGAGAAATTAATAATTGATCAGATTCTTACATGTAAATGTAGACAAAATGAGTCACCGAAGAAACTCAAAAAATATCCAGAAACTGAGATGGGTTTCTGGTTCATAATTTGAATGTTCTCTAAATTGTATAGTCAAGACAGAGGCTGCTCTTTAAAAATACTACTAGTTTACCAGGAAAGCCACCGATATTTTTCTGTGTTTTTCTATGCCAGCACGTGTTATGACTTTCCCAACAACCTAATACTTTATTGTAAGTGATTTTTTAATGAGATAGTAATTCAGGACAGGATTACAAGCTTCACATTTGTTGGTGGACGCTTTAAGAAAACAAAATGGCCGTGGCTATTATTAAAAGGCAGGTCCTCTTTTGCCAGCTGTTGGTTCAGGGTCTCCGACCATCCGCTGATGGGCTGTATGTCAGCATTCAGTCCAGCAGTGCTCAAGTCCCACACGTGGAGACCCTGAGCAGCGTTTTGATGATCTTTTTTTTTTTTTTTTTATAGAAAGCAGCCAGCAGCAAAGCCCTAAGGGTGTTCGGTAAGAAAATGTTGGATGTCACTGCTCCAAATGGCCCTTGCTAGTAGTTGTTCTAATAAATTCAGCTGCTGTCCCAGGGATGTGGTATTTTATGAGTACTCAGAGAAAGGACTCTGGGCCCCTGTGAGCCTCTTGGCTATCTGTGAACACTGGCAGGGTTAGGACGATATTTGTTTTCTCTTTGTCATGGTGTTTACATGCCCTGGCGTGGACCATGAGTGAAATGCATGTGATGATCTCCTGGTCTCACCCTGGTCCCTAATGGATGTTTGTCTAACTGACAACACCCAGTTTAGCGCTGTTAGCACTCCGTGGGGTGGAAGGGGAGGGAGGGTGCTGCGGGCGACAGTCGGGGACATGAATAGAGAGGCCGGGAACCTTCTATAAAGTACACACTTCCCCCTGTAGTATCCAGTTCCAGAAGCACCTTTTTGTCCTCTCTGTCTCCTGTAGTGCCGTAACTTAGGAATCAGACCATGAATATTCACTGAATCAGAGACTCTCAGATGTGACGGTTTCCCCCAGAAATGCAACGCAGGCCTTTCTATTTGGGCCCAGATCTCTCAGCCCTGACGGGGACATGCTTATGACAGACAGCCTGATAGTGTGATCCAGGATGAGGATCGGGAGCCGTCCCCGGGGTCAGTGTACATGGCATGGCACACGCCATCTCCCTGTAGGTCTCCGTGAGCACGACTGACACAGCGCACCACTTTCCAGACGCGTGTCCTCCGTGGCGTATTTAGCAGAAAGCCCCCGCACTTCGGTTTTGTTCGCCATTGTCCGGAGCACTGTGTGTGGATGTGTCAGGCGCAGTGGGACCTTTTGGGAAACAGCGGGACGGTACTAGGCAGAGCATGACAGGTCTGGAGGGGGCGCGCTGCTCTCCCCGGGCCCATGGCAGACTGCAGACTGAAAGGGGGAGCCATGAATTGAGCGTTGACAGCGGGCCACGGCGGTCCGGAGGCTCAGGTGGTTGTCAGCCATAAGTTTAGCTCAGCTCTTTGAGTAATTTGTCACGCCTCGCTCAGCCCCTGCTGGGCCAGCACGTGCCAGCTTAGTGTCAGAGGGCCTGTTCGCCAGACGGCCACTCAGGCCTAACGTCCTGCTGTTCCCCAGACCAGCGGCTTGCTGGGGCCGTGCACGGAGGCCGCGCCGCGGCGACAGCCAAGTGCTGTGCAGAATAAGCTCGTTCCTAATGAGACGGGAACGGCACGAGCGATCCCTCTAGGGTTGGGCCTGAGCAGGCGCCCCTCGCCCAGGACGTCAGGCAGCCTGTTCATTAGGGCGAGTCACCAGGAGCTCAGCCCGCAGTCAAGAAGCCATCGCAGACCCAGGCCACCCGGGCCCGTCTGGGTGGAAGATCATAAATCATCAGTGCCACTTTTGAACTCTTCAAACTCATTCTCCTTTGTTAAAGTTGCACAGAGCGTGCTTAAAGAGCAGTTCTGGCACAGCGCTGTCCCGCCATGCCGTCGGTGGGGACGGGCACGTCCTCTGTCTGAGCAGTCCCAGAGGGTAACGGGCAAGCCCGTGAGATGCAGCCGGGTGAGCAGAGCAACTGCGTTTCTACTTTTCATTTTAATTAATTAGAAATTAAATTTGGAGAGCTACATGTGGCTTGTGGCTACTGAGAGAGCTTAGCCCTCAGATCCTCTGCCCTCCTCGTGGTCTGAAAGTCACTCTCGGAGTGTCACCTAAGGGGACTGGAGAGGCCGAGCGAGCCTGCTTATAGAAACTGGTGGGCCTGCTTTGCCCAAAGAAAATAGGAAAGTATCTGCTGATTGTAAAGCCCACGATGCATTAAGAAAGCTGATTCAGAAAGGCTTCAACTCTCAGCAGCTTCTGTTTTGAAAGAGGCCATTTAAAAAAGATAATTTTAAAAGATAGTAAGAAACACTGGGGTGCTTTTCCCCTTCCAGAGCAGCAGATAACAAACAGAGGGTGCTCCACATTCTCGGTGTTCCTGCGGAATTAGCGTGGTTTTCAAAATGACTGAAAGATATCTTGTAACTTTTGCGCTGATAATGAGGAAGGGGAGATGAGATGTCAGGCCAACTTCCCCAAGTGTTAATTCACCGTGGTACATGTGGTGCCTCTGTCCGTGGTCAGATTGTTCTGACGTTCTCCTGTTATTGGAAGTGCATGACTCACCTTCGGAGGAAACAGAAGCCTCACACAAAAGGCGAAGATTTGCTTTCTGCCCTGTGAAAGGCTGCCACACGCAGGGGTTCTATTAAGACAGCTGGAAAGTTGCTTCAGCGTGTTACGCTTGTAAGTTTTATTGGTGACTGGTTTTTGATTACACATTTGAATGCTGTGTGTTCCAGACTGCAGTTTTAATTAAAAGGCAATAGTCTCTTTTTTATTATCACATCACATACTCTTCGCTAGATTCTCTCACTTACTAACTCTCACTTTCTAATGATCACAGCATATTTTTGGTGAGAGGCTCTGATGTCTTTTCAGAGTACAAGGGGACTTCAGAACGTTTATGGAAAAAAGTGGAATCGAAATATGAGTTATTTTTGGTGCACAAGAAAATTGAGATCCATGCATGGTTTTTCATAACATGCATTTTCGATAAGCTTTTGAAGTCCCCTCTTATACTTCCAGGCCTTCTCTCTTCCCAGTAACTTGTGTTTTCCTATTTTTTAAAAATGTGCACCATAATGTTGTCATTTCTTGCTCGGAGTATCAGCTCATTTTGTCAGCAGACTGAAAACACTTTAGTCCCTAAAATGCAAAATGAAAAAATCCAACATTGTCCTACAGTTGAAAAAAAAATGTAATTGGTGTCTCTTAGTTTTGTTTGTTTAAATCAACCTTCACAATCTTTCAATGTTACTCCGTGACTCTTGGTTTACATATTTTTTTAGTGATACCAGTCTTGAATGCAGTTGAAGTCTCAGAGACACACAGGTCTCAAAATCAGTATTCTGTTAATGATGACTAATATTTAATTTTCTGACAAGATGCTAAAGAATTTGCAAGGTACCTTTCCTTGCACACCACGGTAAAAGTTCCCTAACTGTTTAAAATATAGCAATTTGTCACTGTCATGCATGCTGCCGCGCACGTGCGTTTGTTTTCTTAACCGATGAATGCAGCTACGAGGAGCGAGCTCTGTACCTTGAAGCAATAATTCAAAACCACCGCGAAGTAATGACATTCGAGGATTTCGCAGCCCAAGTCTTTTCTCCCTCTCCCAGCTACTCCCTCGGTGGAACGGGTGAGTGTCTGTGTTATTCTTCTCGCGCGCGTATAGGATGCATTCAAGCAGATGTACACCTGTTTTTCACAGATAAATGCTTGCAAATTTAAGAAGAGCCTTCTCCCTCTGAATCAACTAATGAATATCAAAAGGAATGATGACATTCATTTTCATTTGTTTTGTATCCGAGCTGTTCACTCAGTTCCTTTCTTCAGCCCTCCCGTTAACCTCCGAATCTAGCAGGGTTAATGAACTTTTTCTCTGTAATGTGCTCCGGTTCATTCAGGAGTGTGGGTTTCTTGCTGAGCTGGGAATATGTTGTTCAAAAGCGATGCCCGAATCAGTGCTTACTTATCAAAAAAGAGTTCCTCACAGTCGAAGCCGTTGCTACTAATGCTAAATGGGGATTACGCTGCTGAGAAACTCGGGTCAGGGATTAATGCAGGCGACACGGAAGGACAGTGTCCCCCGGTCCGTCATTACAGCGTGCGTGTTTCCCTCTGGAGTGGTCTGTGTCCTGCGGACAAGTCGCCAGTCCGAGCCGCACCTGGTGTGGGACCCGTGTCGAGCCGGCTCACATTCATTTTCATTTATGAGGCCAGTGGGAAATGGCAGAAATTTCATGATTTTCTTGTTTAAGCTTTTACTCTTTTTATATTTTCAATTTTGCAGGGGGGAAAAAAACTCCACTGCCTCTCAAACCAATGATATGATTACTGTGCATGTGTGTGTGTGTTTTTCCCAAGGATAGAATTATTACGTGTAAATTTCTGCATGTAATTACAGATTAATTGCCTTTCAGAGAGTAAATGGGATATTGAGTCAATGCATGTTGAAATTCTCAATGAGGGGCTTCCTTCATCTTCCACTGGTTCAGACACAACTGTTAGAGTGCTTAATAGATTTCTAACCTGTGTCAACTGTCTCCGCACCCTGCCTTCCTTCTCCTCTTCTGACTTGTTAACAAATATCTTACACACAAAGTGAAAAAAAATTAAATTCAGTGAAATAAATCACTTACAAATAAAATCAGCCATGCATCATTGTTTAACATCGCTGGCTTCAATCCTCGCCTCTCAGAGCTTTGTCGGGAGATAAGAGAGAGAGGCAAGCACTTGCGCAGGGAGCCAGGAGCAGCAAGCAGAAGGCTCCGGAGATAAGCTGGCAGAGGTGCGGGAGCCGCGCGATTTACATAATCACGCCTCTGCTTCCTGGGGAGGCGTCAAGAAACACAGGCATGGCCTCTATTGATCTTTGTTGAACTGGAATACTAAACAACATGAGAAAAGCTTATAACTTAAAGCTTTGATTAATGTTTCTTACATTAAAAAAGTAGAACAGCTGTGAACTGAATTCTTTTATACACTCTGCCAACATTCTAAGACAAAAAAAAAAAAAATCCGTTTCAAGGGAAATGAAGATTTCATACCCAGTCTGGCTAGGGGTTTAAAATCGTTTCTCATTTTTCAGTGAAAGAACATGAAGGATCTGTCATGAAGATGGGATTTTGCAGATCTCATTCAGCTTTTTTCCATCTTCATAAGATATTGGGACTTGATTTTTTTTTTCAGTGCAGTTTTTTTTTTTTTTAATTTAACTCCTGAGAAAGATTTTCATTTCTTAAAAGAAAAAATAAAAAGTAATAGACATTTATATTCCTTAAGTCAGCTGTCACATGGTTAATGTTCTGATGTTATTAAGATAGATAAAAATGGACTTTATTTTCTATGCATAGCGTAGTCTCTGATCTAGATTATTTGATATCTTGCAAAAGTTCATAATTATTTAAACGATTCAAACGAGTCAATGCTTAAGTAGCACCTTAAGTGAAACCCAAGGAACAATTTGAATTTTTAAGACCCCCACTTGGAGACAGACTATGATTAATAGGCTTCTTCCTGAATGTGTTATTTTTGAAAGTTACTTAGTAGGATATAGATTCCAACCGCAGGTAAGAGGGGGCACTGAAACTTTTGTCATTGGAACCTCCAGCTCCACGTGGCGTGGAGTCAAATGCTGATCCTTCCTTTCCAATGATCAGCATCAGTCTGACACTTCATAATGTGATATGATGTTAAGAATGGCATCGTGTTCTCCATTAAGGCTTTGCATTTCTGCACATCATAATGATAGGAAGGAGCCAGAAATAAAACGTGTTTCGAACTGGAATTCGGGGGCAGCACCGTGAACATGGCACATTGCAACACCACGTTTTCAGAATCATTCTTGTCATGTACATACTGGTGTTGCTTTTGAGGAATCCCTATCTGTTACCACTTGTACAGATGAAGAGATTTTTCATGTATTCCCAGTGTTTTTTTTTTATTTTCTTGGGATGAGTCCAATCAAACCCAGATGAGCCAGCCAGCTTAAAGAAATGGAGGTGAAGTCTGCTCTTCCAAGCGACAAGCCAACTGGAAAAATTGACCCTGAGCAGCTTAAGCTCCCACAGTGCACTTAGGACCCAATCAGACCATCTCTGGCCATCAGTGTCATCAAAGCAGCGCCTTGGGCTCCTGCTCCATGCATATGCACACACTGAGGAACTGGGGCCTCATTTCCTTTGTATCCCCTCAACCAGAGCCTATGGTCCATGAAGAGGGAGAGTCACCTGAGCGGCTGTTCATTCCACCCTGCGGTGGGCAGCCAGCACCCAGAATGCAGCAGACAGCCCCACCCCTAGAGGGAACACCTCGGGGCCAGCTTGAAGTCTGAGTAACAGTAAGAGATGTGCTCGGTGGGAGTGGCCTGTGGCCAGAGGTGCCACTGTGGAGAAATGCCCCCTGCTCAGACTCTTCCTGCCCCCCACCCCAAGCCCCAGGATGCCCGTTGTCCAGGTGAATGGCTACACTGCTAGCCACCAAGGGGGGTGTCAGGGCTACCACATGAGCATCCGGCCTTTTTCAAAGAGCTTTAAAGAAATGATCAACATCAACGTCTTCCTAATCAGAAGTACAGTTTTTTAAATGCCGCCCTGTGTCTACTCCATCCGTGACTTGAGTGGAGGATGCCACGTGTGTAAGAGGTGTCCGAGCTGCCTCTTTACACAGCCCTGCAGTTTGTCTTCCTGTATCGATTCCTTCCTTTACTGACCAGCGATAATCTAAAAGGTAGCGAGGGTGGAAATGCTGGTTGCAATGAACATGTCTGTATGATTTATGCATGTATATCATATGTGTACACACACACACACACACACACGTGCATTTAGCACACATCGGGGTAGAGGACTTAATGTTTTCCAGGCTGTTACCCGGGAAGGGGGGCAGCAGAGAGGGCTGGGAAGGGTTAACTGGAATGGGCACCCTCGACTGCTGGGAGGGACTGATGTAATCACTGCAGCTCACAGCCAAGTGCATCTGTTCACCATGAGGTCATTCTTCTGCATGCTAATGATTTGGAAAATCAAGTCTAATGTTTGACATTATCGGGAAGGATATAAATAGTGTAAATCTTTACTTTTTTGGAAGCTGCTCTTAGAGAGCACGAGGAGAAGGAGAAACTTTGGTTTGGAAACGAGATTCTTCTTACAGATTGTTTCCTGACCTTCCAATCTTGGAGGGATTCACTTGTGTCTGTTGATAACTGAATCCCTGAATCACTAGCTAGCAATTTAGCAGTCAGAGACTATAGGTATGTGTCGTTTAATATCCGATTTTCAGTTTTTAAGAACGTCCAGGAACTTTGGTCAAAAGTTGATAAAGATGGATTTCCCCCAAAGAATGCCTAAAACAGAGTTAAGTGGGTGACGCTTCTCAGTACCTGACCACCCGATTTGACTTGTGTTTGCTGAAGACGCCCCCGCTGTGGATGGTTCCCTTCCACTTCAATATTGCCACGGAGAGCCAGCAGAGGGAGCACAGATCTGAGTCTGTCTGCTCGACATAAACACAGTATTTGATTTCTCCAAGAAACGGTCAGAAACACGCCCGCCTGCACGACCGGCTGGACTGTCAAGGCTCCCGGGTTTACCCCAGAAGGAGAACATACCTCGCAATGGTCCATTAGATTCTGCCACAGTTAATGTAGGTCATACTGGGGGCTTAAACCAGATTAGTCTGGTTGGGTCTTAGGGTGATGCTGCCACCCCTGCTGTGGCACGAACTGCAAACTTTCCTCTTCCACACACCACGTGCTGCCCTCCTGGAAAGGATCGTCATGCCCACCTCCTTAATAGAAAAGACTTTCATCATTTTTCCCCTACAACAAGATCACTATATTCAGTTTGCAGAAACTTTACCAGAGGACTCTGCCTGGTGCCACTGGGTTTTCTTAGTGGCCAATAAAATGTCCTGTCATACTGCAGGCAAGCAGTCCTGTTAGGCAATGACCCGAAAGCAAATCTGGATGTAATTGCCACACAGAGCACACTGTGACACCTGGCCTTGCCTGGACAGGTGACTACTCCCAGCTTTCACCCGCTAAGACCGCCACACGCTCCCCTGAGGTTCCGCGTTCCAGGATATCCCAATTCATCACCCCACATGCACATCCTGACAGAGTGGTGCGTTGGCTCTTCTCACAGGGCAGTTAAAGATGAAGCTGACCCGCAGAAGTAGTACAGGGTAAACCCCAACCCCAAGGTTCCCATTTATTGGAAGGGTGGTCAGTGCAGCCATGGTGGCACTTAGGTAACACCATGGTCCGGGAAGCACAAGTTCAGTTTCCAGGCCAACCTGAACACGCTGGCACATTTACACGTGCCCATAATCCCAGCTAAGTGGGAGGCTGGGGCAGGAGCACCATGGCACGAGGAGACCCTGCTCAGAAATACCTGTCTCTGGCACTCCCTTTTGGCTTGTCCTCCCTCGGGTCACGTTACAGGTGGATTCAGTATTCATCCTCTCT